ACAGCCCTGATCCCCTCCCCTCCCCCCCTCCAGGTTCATCACACATTGAGGAATTGTCTGTCAGCTCAGGACAGTCCGAAGGTCTCCACTGACATCTCATCCCAAACAGGAGCAGAAAAATAAATCTCCATCTACTTACTATTGGTGGCTGGAGGGAAGGCAGGAGGGACTGCTGGTGAATCATTGACCACACTTTGGGAGAAGAAGAAAAGGAAGATGCAAAGGAGGGAGGCTGCTCTTTCTTGGAGGACTGAGGTGCAAAAGGAGCAACCATGGGGGCAGGTAAAGGACAGAGATAGCAGCTTTCATCTCTGCAGATCTGTACTCGTATTGTCTGCTGCAGTCATATGTTTATAAATAGTGACAACAATAATAACAAATGTAACAATAACTATTATTATTATTCTAAACATTGAAGAAGACGGAGCTGGCCACGCAGTGTGCTCCTTTCCCTGATTTTGTTCTTTTTGTTTTTTTTTTTCTTTTTACTCTTTTTTGAGTATAGATCAGTTAATTTCACTGACTCATTACCTGTGCTGATGTTCCACGCATCAACTACTCTTTCAGTATTATTTACCTGAACGTGAATGGCTTTGAGAATATTTGGGGAAATGATGGTGGCAAATGTATTACCTCGGCGTCATAACAAAATTAATGCAAATGTTTCTTATTTTCATGCAAAATACAAATTAGAAACATTAAATGTATAATAATAGTGAGTTGGTTGTCCTTTCAGGGTGTACGTGCAGAATTTCTATCACTTTGCTGATGTACAAGAGGCGCTTGCCAAGGAGCGGTGCCAGCTTATCCGAAGGCTAACGAAGTAACCGCTGGCCCTTTAGGCTGTTCTGAATACAATGTCATTGTTGGCTGACGCTTCATGTTGAATTATCGGCATCCTAATTCATCTTCAGCAGAAGTTTTACTTTGTTCACCTAACGAGGATTTGTGGAAACGCAGCGGAGCAAATGTCACATGTCAGTGCCGCTCACTTGGCTAACAGTAAGGCCCCATTCAGATCTATGTGTGTGTGTCCTGCATCAAAGCTATTATTATTATTATTGTACAGGATTTATATAGCGCCAACAGTTTGCTCAGCACTTTACAATACAGGGGGAGACAATACAAATTCAGTACAATAGGGCTAGGAGGGCCCTGCTCGTGGGAGCTTACACTCTAGTAGGAGGGGCGAGTGATACAAAAGGTAATAATTGTGTAGATTGAGTTAGTGGAAGAAGTAAAAGGACAGTTATTATGTGGAGGTGGGATGGGCTTCCCTGAAGAGAAGAGTTTTCAGGGATCACCTAAAGATGGACAGAGTAGGAGATAAAAGGACAGATTGGGGTAGTGAGTTCCAGGGGATGGGAAACACTCTGGAGAAGTCCTGGAGGCGAGCATGGGAGGAGGTAACGGGAGAGCTGGAGAGCAGGAGGTCTGGAGAGGAGCGGAGAGGACGATTTGGGTGACATTTCGAGATGAGGTGGGTGATGCAGTCAGGGGCAGAGTTATAGATGGCTTTGTATGTCGTTGTTAGTTATTTTTTATTTTATTAGTTAAGCAATTGGGAGATAATGATGGGATTGGCAGAGGGGGGCGGGGGGATGGAAGCCAGTGGAGGGATTGGCAGAGGGGGGAGCAGGATGGAAGCCAGTGGAGGG